TATGGACGGATGGATCAAAATTACGTAATTTTTAAAATTAAGGGACAAAATAGTACTTAAAATAATTAAAAGATGAAAATTGTGAAAAATTATAAAGTCAAGGAGCTAAAATTGCCATTTAACCTATAAAAATGTGAAAATTAGAGAAAGGAGAAAATGGAACTTGCCGAGGTCAGAAGCAGCCAATCGAACAAACAGATTCTGACCGCCGGAGGGGAGCTCTCTGATGTCCAGAAGTTCGCCGACCCAGATGACACACCCCGTGCCACCGTTTCTGATATCGGCGTTAGCATAAGCAGTGCAAGAACAATTCTTCAGGCACAGATCTCTGCAGTCCTTAAGACTAATATTCCGATCCACAAACGCCGTGGTAGTTTCCGGCAGCTTCACATTTCTCAGGTGTAAGAATTTGTCTCCCATGCACTCCAAATTCGTCTTCCTCATACACCCATCTGATCCATCTCTCAAATTCCACGCCTGCAAGTTCTTCGGCTCGAACCCTCGCGGACACTTGCAAACAGGGGATGCATTCGCGTCGCAGATACCGTAGGGACCGCACTCCTGGTAGTGGTCGCACTGGTCCTTCGGTGCATACCAGTATTGGTTCCATTGTTCGGTGTCCGGAATCCAGGTTAATCTCTCAAGAACTCCGGTGGGATTCACTATCAGCCTGGGAAACAGATTCTTGGTTGTAACAGAGTATGAGTAAGTCACCTCGTCTTGATTGGTGACAAACTCGAACTGGAGAAAATCCAGCAGTTTCATGTTTGGACAGCCGCTGAACGTCACGCCGTTCCAGGGCCCGCTTCTGTATTCTATCTGTTTATTGTCCCAAAGGAAATATTCCGGGGATCCTTGGTAATCAAGCTTTAACGAGAAATTCCCTGAAGACGGGTCTGCTGGGCTTCTCCATGACGTCAAGTACCTGTCAAAAAAGATCAACAAGAGCTTACCCGAGTTGGCAGAACCTTAATTCTAGATTTCTGTCAAAAATTCAAACTTCATACCTGTCCAAATCTGTGTTCAGATCCCAACCCAGCTTCATGTCCGGCAACAGGGTATCGGTCGGAAAATCAAAACTTTGCCAGAGATAGTTGTTGGGATCCTCTGCTTCTCTCAGGACCAAGTTTCCAGAATCCAACAGCTCCACAACAGTGTTACTACCCTTCGTTATGTTCGATGACCAGACCGGTTTCTGATTTTGGTCCAGAAGAACAATGTTCTGATCTACAACCTTGAAAACTCCGGAGGAGTTAGAAAGTGGGTTGTCCCTGTTGGCAACCCACACGTAGGTTCTCTGAGGAATGTTCTTGTACCAAATCCCAACGTACCATTTGTCTGAAACTGAACTACCGGAACTGAAGAATCCCAGCTCGAAAACATCGCCGGAGGAGATGAGGGTTTGGTCATTAGTGATAGAATTAGTTGCAGTCAAGGAATCTAGGGAAAGGGAGATTGTTGGGAAGAAGATAACCAGGGAAGTGAAGAACAAGAGGACGCAGTTTGAAACTCTCATTGTTCAGTTCTGTGGAGTTTGCGGAGATTTCTCTGTGAAGAAAATATAAGGTTCTTTCCTGTTTAAGACACCTGGCGTCGTTTGATAGGAGAGGATGTTGACTCAGCTTTGTAATTTTATTTTTTTGGCCTTCTCTGTTTCCTCTTTGTCTTTATGGTTTGGAATTAAAAATTAAAACCAATGAAGGCGCTATTTCATGAGTTAACTCTACACGTGGTGGACGAGTGGTACTCTGTCCCTGAAGTGGGAACACCAGTGGGACGCAATAAGTTCAACCCCAGCTCCTCCTTCCTACACCCCTTAAATATAAAATGTAATGGTAGGAGACAATTACCTTTCTTAACAAAAAAAAAAAAAAAATTCATGAATTTAAGGTTTTAAAAACGGAATGAGAAAAGGATGTGGCCTGATTTTGGGCTTTGTGAACTTCAGTCGCTAAGGTCAATCATGAAATTAACCAATTGTTTGGAATTTTTAGCTGAAATGAAACTGTACACCCGGATAAGTCCCAAGTATCAAGGTTCAAGGTCAGTTTATTACCATTTTTTTTTAATCTCTGCCAGCATAAACCATAGACTAAGGCACCCAAGACAATGATACAAGAAACTGTTGGGAGGCTGATAATGAGATCTACTCCTAGATTCCGGTGAGTTGAAAATACTGAAGGGGAAAAATGAGGAGATAGAATACTGAAATGAATAAAGATGAATCAGCTATTCCGAAGTGAAAAGAAAAGAAGGGAGAAGAAACTAAATTCATTTTGAAAATATTGCTTAAGCCAATTATATTGTCACCCAATTCTGAGGATGCAAGACGAATGAAAAGATCTTCCCCACCAATGGAGAACTCTTGCATATGTCTTCACTCCACTCCACAGCAGACACCCTATGCCCTTTACATATGCATAAGCCTTGCAAGACACATTGCTTGACCAGAGAGTTACTTCATTCCCATCTACAAGCTTCAGATTTCCATCACTTCCAATCTTTAGACTTGCCAATGAATCAATAACTGGATTCTCTCTGTTGGCCATCCAAACAACTGTACGAGGAGCAATATTTTTATACCATACACCAACATATTGATTAGTGGTATTATCAGGACACAAAAGGCCTAACTCAAAAAGATGGGTAGGGGAGATAAGGATTTCATTTTGTGATAATGG